CTCTTTCCGTGATTTTCTTCGTGATGGCCCTTGGGTAGAAATCTTTCGTCTTCCTGCTGACAAATGTGCTTCTTACATAACTTCGTGGATTCAGGCTGGCATGGAATCTTTTATTCCCTCTCGACGATTCCAGGTCAAACCTCACTCTTCTCCTTGGTTTTCCTCACATTGCGCTGCAGCAATTTCTAATCGAAACCGTTACTTCCATATCTATCAGCAAAACAATTCTCCAGAAAACAGACATCTGTTCACTATCGCCAGAAACCATTGTAAAAAGGTTTTGTCTGACGCCAAAGCTCGCTATTCCCAGGTCATTAAATCTCGTATCTCATCACAAAAATTAGGCTCTCGAGACTTCTGGAGAATCTTTAACAGTATCAATAATAAGGGCAAATCTGTTATTCCTTCTCTCTTGTATGGTTCAGACTTTATCACCTCACCTAAAGACAAAGCTGAATTGTTTGCTAAGAACTTTTCATCAATATCATCTCTTTATTCCACTAGTTGCGTTTTACCTGACATAGCCATCAAACAGGTTGATCCCTTGCTTGACATTCGCATCGCCTCAGCTTCTGTATCTAAAGTAATTTCCTGCTTAGACTCTTCAACAGCTTGTGGTCCTGACAACATTCCTGTTGTAGTCTTGCAGAGGTGTTCTCCGGAGCTTTCATCCATACTTTCTAAACTATTTAACAAGTGCTTATCAGAGTCTTGTTTTCCATCATGCTGGAAAACAGCATCTGTTATTCCTATTTTCAAAAATTCCGGAGAGCGATCTGATTCATCTAACTACCGTCCCATTAGTCTTCTTCCTGTCATAAGCAAGGTTTTTGAATCTTTAATCAACAAACACTTAATCTCTCATCTTGAATCAAATAACTTATTTTCTGATCATCAATATGGATTTCGGTCTTCTCGTTCTACAGCTGATGTGCTAACAGTAATAACCGATAGGTTTTACCGTGCATTAGATAGAGGTGGAGAGGTTAAGGCTATCGCACTTGACATTTCTAAAGCTTTTGATAAAGTTTGGCATGCTGGTCTTCTCCATAAGCTTTCTTCTTATGATGTAGCTGGTAACGTCTTTAAGATTATTGAGTCCTTTCTTTCCAATCGTAGTATAAAAGTTGTCCTCGATGGACAACACTCTTCTTCACATCCTGTAACTTCAGGGGTTCCTCAAGGTTCAATCCTTGGCCCTATACTCTTTTTAATTTACATTAACGATTTTCCAGATATTCTCACATCTAAGGTGGCATTATTCGCTGACGACACTACCACTTACTCTTGTCATGATAAGAAGCCTACACTCTCTGATTGCTTGGAGGGGGTATCTGAGCTTGAAAAGGATCTCACTTCTGCTATAGCATGGGGCTCACAGTGGTTGGTGAACTTTAATTCAGATAAAACTCAATTTTATTTGGCCAATCGTTATCGTAATAATTTAGATCTTCCTATATTTATGAATGGTAATGTACTAGATGAGTCATCTACCATTCATCTTCTAGGATTAACTCTTACTTCTGATCTTTCTTTTAAACCGTATATCAAATCCATTGCAAAATTAGCATCTGCTAAGGTTGCATCTCTTTATCGAGCTCGACACTTTCTTACTCCAGATTCTATTCTCTATCTCTATAAATCTCAAATCCGTCCCTGTATGGAATACTGTTGCCACATCTGGGGCGGATCTTCTAATGATGCTCTTTCTCTTTTAGACAAGGTGCAAAAACGAATTGTAAACATAGTTGGACCCGCTCTTGCAGCCAATCTCCAACCTTTGTCACATCGTCGTAATGTTGCTTCTCTTTCTCTTTTCTACAAATACTATAATGGGCACTGCTCTAAAGAGCTAGCGTCCCTTGTGCCATCTACTAAAATTCACTCTCGTGTTACTCGCCATTCAATTAAGTCTCATCCTTTTTCTGTGACTGTTCCTAAGTGCTTCAAAAACTCTTATTCTTCTAGTTTTTTTCCTCGAACATCAGTTCTTTGGAATTCGCTTCCAAAGAACTGATGTTTAGGCTTTCTAATCAATTATGAAATAAGTCTAAACATTTTTGTAAGTATGTAGTTATTTTATTTGGTCGCAACTTTTAAATAGAAATATATAAACTTATTTATTAAATATAATTTTAGTATATTCATCTTTAAAATATCCTTTTAACTAGTTGATTTATGTTACTTTATAATTAGTAAACTTTAAATTTTATTTTTTCAAATTAAAATTTGTTATTGTTTTCGTAAGTTGCAATTTTTTTCACTTTCTATGAGTATATAAAGATTCCTTTTTGTATTCTTTATACAAGCACTCATACAAAAAAAAAAAAAGTAAATTTAAAAAGATCAAAAACACTTTTGAACAAATTTATCAGAATTGAAGTTTAGGCTTTCTAATCAATTATGAAATAAGTCTAAACATTTTTGTAAGTATGTAGTTATTTTATTTGGTCGCAACTTTTAAATAGAAATATATAAACTTATTTATTAAATATAATTTTAGTATATTCATCTTTAAAATATCCTTTTAACAGTCAATGTTTTGAGAGCTAGTTAATTTTTTTCCCACATTGTCAAATTCTTTTTATTTTAGCGTTTGTACTCAGGTGCTTAATACGAAGAAGGGGTAACTACTTTACTTTAGGAAAATCCCAGTAAGCACAGGACGTTTTTAAAAACGTTTAAAAAACTTATTAAAACGGATATTAACGTTTTTTAAACGTTTTAAAAACAATCTATGCTTACTGGGATATACCCACCCTGAGCGTATTAAATTTCATCAAATTCATTTGTTTATCTAATTTCATATATTGCTTAAGAAAATTATTTGCTGATAAAAATAAATACTTATTAGTAACCAGGCTTTAAAATGTCAAGTTTATACTAACTAATCAAAACGAAAGCTTTCATTGTAATCAGCTCTTAAAAGTTAACAAATACTAAACAAAAATTCAAAAAGTTATTGAGAGTTTGTATTGAAAACTGAATAACATATAGTGTTATTATTAGATATTTTAAAGTTGTTTGTCCGCAATTTGATCGCAGAATTCTTATTTTTAATATATTTAATATATACGTAAAGAAAGCAAAACGGTACCCTATTTCAAAAACGGGGATTAAAAAGCTACAAAATTCACAGATACCGTGTTATTTTGAATTTTTTCGCTGTTTTTTCTCTGTAACTTTTTAACGATGCATGATTACCAGATCAATTAGAGAATTAATCAAATAGAATATATTGTATAAAAGTGCAATAAAGCAATGTTGAATTTTTTCTCATCCGATTATTGTTGATTTGAACGTTTGTCAGGTGGTGTATTTAAAAAAAAAAAAAAGAAATAACTAATGATTCAATAACTAATTGCAAAAAAAGGATAAATGAAAAATTAGGCTTTCGAAATTAAAAAAGTTTATTAGATCTATATCGCAATGGTACCCTATTGAAAGTACCAAAATAACAAATATGAGTTTTAGTAACCGCAATGGTACCCTATTGAAAGTACCAAAATAACAAATATGAGTTTTAGTACCACGCTAATATCAATAATTAAGCTATTAAATTGTCAACAATTTTTGACGATAGATATCACATAATACTTTATAAGTAGATTTTAAATTTCTACAAAAAAATGATGCTCTATATTAATATTTTATTTTAATACAATATTACTATAAAAAACTTGAACTTATCTCGGTTACATTTAAAATAAAAATGCATAAATACTAGCATCTTATAAAGAATAACTAATATCATGATTATTAAACTTTTTACTTAAACAAAAATATATAATCTACTATTTGTAAGTTCTATATTTTTTATGATTTCACAGACCTCCGTTGATTATAACTTTCAATTTGATATTTGCTAAAGAAAGTTAAAGTAAGTACTACTAGTACTAACTTTAAACGGAGGTCTGTGAAAATAAAATCTAATGATATTTTTGTTGAAAAAAAACCATTTTCACAAAAAACATCTGATGCAAATAGCAAAATAAATAAAATAGCATTAGCTGGTATTTTGAATGCTATTCTTTTACTAACTTGTACTGATAAACCTTCTTGTTCTTATATACTGTCAGTTTAAACTATTTTGTTGATGTTGGAAAAGTAAATTCATGCTAACCAAATTAAAATATGTTGACAAGGGATATAACATGTAAAAAATAACGTAACAAAAGAATTACTATTTTATATAAAATTATTTTAAATAATTAATATATGTTGTTTTTTTTCTTTATAAACAGGCCCATAAAATACTTAGTTGGATTGATTATAAAAAATATAAAATAACGAGACGAGATCCATAACTTTGCAACGGCTATTGATACGCGTACTTGTACTAGTGTAAAAATTTCGTTAAGAAAATTTCTGCTGCATGAAATTTTATTCAGTAACAAACTACTGAGTCAAATAATGCTTAAATCGTTTTGTAATTATAAACAATCAATATTTTGAATGGCGCATAAGATGCACTGCTATATCATCGTTGCATATCAAAACTGCCCTGTCTAATTTTTCCATCTTGTAGATATCGACAGTTTTTTTTTAAGTTAGGATTATAACTCCTCAAGGTAAAATTGTTTCAAAAATGTTATTAGTTTCTGGTGCGCAATTTTTTGTGTGAAAAATTTACTTAGGTGTTCCCATCTTAATTTTTGAATTTTTTAAAATTTAGATAATAAAAGTTACAAAAATAAAATGTATACTAACAAGAATTATTTATTGTATAAAATATTTCAAATTAGGCTGATATAAGAAAAAAAAATTAAAAAAGGCATTGCTTTTTATAAAAGAAATGGATTTTATTCCAAAAATTAAACATTCATTAATTTATAATTAATTTTTCTTAAGAAAAAACAATCTTTTTAAGGTACCTAATTCTAGAAGTGTATTGCTCAAAGTTGAGGTAAAAGAACATTAAGTTTATCACTGTGAAATTTTGCTGATTTTTTGTTTGATAATATTAAACATTTTAATATTCTATAAATTAACTTTTTTACCTTGAAATTGCATCCAATGTAAAAGTATTGGCAAGGAATAACTGTATTAGCGCAACTATCAGTGATATGGGTTGACATCTATGAATTGATGTAAAAAATAGTTTATTTACCAAATGTAACAAAATATTTTTTTTTAACTAAAACTTTTTCTTCTTTTAATATTTAAACCTCTTTACGCAGAATTTTCATGCCACATTGATTTACACAATAAAGTGGTAGAGATTCGCAAGTTTCCAAGTGATTCTAAATGTAGTTTTACAAAGCAACTATTATATTTAATAAAAAACAAAACATTTTTTTAAAATATTTTTGACTTGATAATTATTAACTTTTATTAACACGCTTATCAATAATTATCATCATTATCATCATCTATAAAATCATTACCATCTTTAACATCACATATAATAATATTTATCATAGCCATGATTAAATGCTAGCAGATACAAATAGCAATATTAAATAATTTTAATTTCTGGTTTCATTTTTAAGAACATAATTCCACAATAAGGATTTTTAGAAACAAACTATTTTAGAATTAAAAATATTTTTTTAATTATGCATTGATGCAAATACATTTACTCTTAATCTTAAAGTTTGCATCAGATGACTTTTGCCTTATTATCAAAGCACATGTTTAGATAAAATAGGACTATATAATGGTCGCATAAAACTTTATTCAAACCAGTAAAATGTGATTTAATTATTAATATTTTTAATTTTTACAAAAAAAAATAACAAAACAAACACACAAAAAAGGCCCCCTTATTAGTTACTAATACCGTTCTGAAAAAAGTTGCAGCTAAAAAAAAAAAACTACTCACTTTAAGAAATTTCAAAAAGAAAAACGAAAACTAAATTTCCTTCAAAGCCATAACTTCGTTTTCTACTAACTTTATTTACTATTATATTATTAAAATACTAGTTGTCAATCTTACTAAGGGGTCGTCCATAAAGTACGTAGGCCAAAAATTTTGAAATTTGACCCCTTTCCTCCCCCCTGTTGCCATGCGTACTTCTAAGTCTTTCGCCCCTTAAAAAGTACGTACGTTTTTGAGATCCCCTTTCCTTATATTTTTTTTTTTTAATGAAAAAATATATAGAAAAAAAAAAAAAAAATGTGGAGGAGGTACCTTAGATACTTTATACGACCCAAAAGCTCTTTGTTTGCGGCACAAAATCCCAATTTAAATAACGTTTTTAAATATATATGCAAATATTAATTTTAATAAAGTTAAATTATAAGATATTAATGTGTTTGCTTGGTTAAGCGGTTAATGATGAGGACTGCGCCGGTGCTCGATCTCCGATCGAGCCATAAAATACATTCTTCTGTTTTAAGATGGTAGACCATTATTAAAAATCAAAAAAAATCCTTTTTTCAAATATAATAATTTTAAATAATATAACTTTCTTAAAATACGAATTTCAAGTTAGTTTAATGAAGAAAATTAGCTAACAACATTAAAAATCATTTTTTTATAAAGCGGTATAAGTAAACACTTGTATTTTTCCATAGCAACGCTTTGTTTATTTCGTTGCTATGCAACTGAAAAGGAAGTTATACCAAAAATATAGTATACATTTTTAATTTAAAATACCAGATGAAGTGATTGAAACTCTATAACTACTTTTTGTTTATTTAATAATATTTTTGGTGCATATGGCTACATGGGTTTTATTAAAATTTCCAACTATAGTTGCTGTTTTCTGTATCACTCTACATTTATCCTATCACTTTGTTAAATAATATTAGTAATTAAAAGAAATTGGTAAAAAAAAAAAAAAATAAAACAAGACATAGTAAAAAACTTATACTCTTTAAAGAAAACCAAAATCAATTAACAAACAATGCAGTTGAAGAAAATGTATATAATTTGCATGAACTAAAATTTGAACTTAGCATAGAAAAAATTTCATGTGTACATTCAGCTACAGCAATAAATAATCTGTAAAAATTATAAATAATGGTTTTGTAAATAAAAGCAATAGTTCTGCTAATTACGACCAGTTCAATGTTTCAAATGATTACATATTTATGAACACTGACATACGAGTTAAAATAGTTGCCATTGTTTGCTATCAATAATTTTCTACAATGTAACTTTTATATTATAACTTTGTATGATGCTCAAAACAATATTGCTTACAAAAATGTTAGAAGTTTTATTCTACCATAACTATAAACAAACCAGCAGCAATGAATTTTTGAGATTTTTTTTTTGTACAATATTAGTTTTTTGAGAAATAATGGGTAAAGAATACCATAGTATAGAAAAGTTTAGTGGTTTTATGAACATTTTTTATCAAGTACAGAAATTTTTTTACTTGTTAAACAAAGAAAGTATAACAATTACATAGCTAAAGCTAGCATGAATGCTGCAGCAAAGAAGTTCTGAAAATAAATTATATTCCAAAAATAAAACTATAATGATCACACGGTAGTTAATGAGATTTCTCTTATGGTGCATAATTAACTGATTTATTGTTAAATAAACCAGAATTAAACCAGATTTTGAAAAACATACCAGAACAAGCAAAAAAAGACGAAAGACTTTAAAATAAACCAGATATAAGCCAGATTTTCTAAAATAAACCAAAACAAAAATTCCAAGTCAAACGATAAAAAAACAAACCAGATTTTAGAAATCTGGCTTAAAAAAACACCAGATGGCAACCCTGGTTTTAAAGTCGAATTTAAATGTCGCATGTTTTTATCAGTGGTTTCACATTCCTAACGGAAAGTTATTATAATTTAATACTACGTTTCCATAACGGTGAAACATTAATATTTTAACTTGTATTTATGGTAAATAGTAATAGTTAATTTCACGTAACAAAAAACACTTTTGATATGTGTTATTCTTTTTGTTTTAGAAGGTTTTAAAAACGCAACAGAAACCAAGTGTAATTATTTTCTGAGTTGTGCCGGCTGGGTCATAAAGACCCTTATTTTTACGGTTCCGATCTAAGCTAGTATAATATAATAGTGTTATATTATGGAATCTTTAGATTCGACCATATAAATATCTCGTAAATCTCAACTATTTGAAAATCAGCTTTCGAATTATTATGTGTGTGTGTGTGTGTGTGTGTGTGTGTGTGTGTGTGTGTGTGTGTGTGTGTGTGTGTGTGTGTGTGTGTAATATTAGCATAATTGTAAAATGCTTAACTTATACTATTACAAATATAAAAGTGTAAACTATATAATTTTAAAGTCCCTGAAATGAAAAAAGGTAGGGAGATGTTTTGTCATAAGTTCTTACTGTTCCGTTAAAGCAAATAAATGTTATTTTCAAAATATATTTAAATGCCAAAGTTCGCGATTCCAGATACTAGCACTACGACGTTCTTTTCTAAATCATTGTTTTACATTTATAAAATATGTTACAAAGTAATGTACATTTTTAACATATGTTAACATTTGATGTATATTTATAACATGTTTCCAATTAATTGACATATGTATCCTGATAATAAACTTGACCCTTTGGCTCAAATTTATAAATTGAAGAGCTTAGTACGAAAAGTACTTAAGTCACAAAAAAAAATGTTTTGAGAAAATCTTCTTTGATCATAGAAATAACGCTTCATTAAGTGACTTAAGTACTCTTAGCATTAAAATACTTAAATTAATTTAAAATTGAAGTAAGAATTTAAATTGATTTAAGGTACTTCTATACAATTACACAACTTTTTTCTTAAAAATTGATATATTAAGTGATTTATTACATTAATTACAAATATAGGTCAAAAAATGACAGAATTTAATTTTTTTTTATGCATATAAAAAATGGGTTTTGGTCCCAAAAAGGGGCTAAAACTGTTTACTCAATTATTTAACATAGGGTGACTTGCACTGTTGTTTTATAACAATGTAAATTACAATCTGTGCCACTTTCACATTCCAACTATAAAAACTTGCAAAAATATAGCCATTTTTAAAAGAATAGGTGATTTTAACAATTTACTCGCCTATTCAAAATTTCATAAATACAAATATGTAAGCAAGTTCATAAATACAAAGAGTAAGCGAGTCTATTCAATGAGGGTCATTTTGTTGCTATATAAGTAAGCAATATTTGTGCAAAATTTCCAGAAGTTTCACATAGTATTAGTGAAAATATTATGTAAACGGTAAAACCAAAACTACAAAAAGTATGTACTGAGAAAAAGCAGTTTTAAAAATCAGTTAATATTTATTGACATAAAACAAAACAGAGTTAACACAAAAGGATCCTGAATTATAAGATTGGTACCCTTCAATATCTTTGTTTTTGTCTATATGCACTTTTCTTAAGCTTCTTCTTACTTTTCTTTGTTTTTTTGAAATATTGGATGATTGTTTATGATGAATTATAACTCTATAATTGTCACTTTTTAAAGCATTTTGTTCAAAAAACTTCCACGTTGAATATTTAAACAATCAAAAACGTTTCCAATACCATTAATGCCATCATTGAAACTTATGATGGCAGAACACACACCAATTGTAGGAACTTTCCTGCTACAATAAGTAGATTTTGGACAGCGTGCCCAAATAATTTCATTTAAACACTTATTTACATTTTGCGTTTCGCCATGAAAGCATTTTTCTAGCAATGAATCTTGACTTAATTCCTAAAAAATAGGTTTCCGTTCATCTCTTATGGCTAAAGACAAAGACAATTTTGACTTGTATGTTTTACTCCTAGTGAGATTATCTGATTGCCATTTACACCATCCATTAACAACTTTTGGACAAACATGTGCCGCTGCTCTTCTTGTACATTTTCAGAACAATGAAGTAAAACAGCACCATTTGCTTTTTTTATTGGATAAATCATAGTATTTTGACGAATAGCCATTCCAAAATAGTTTTGAAGTAAATTTATGGCTTTTTTAGTTGAGCGTCCTTTTCCAAATATTTTTTTTCCATCTGATAATAATTGCACTTTGTATTTTTGTTTCAGTGTGCGTAACCGTGAGCCAAGTCTTTTTTGAACATGGCCCACACACTCTAATTTATTAATTATGAATGCATCTCTATATGGCTTTGATTCGACTACCCTTTTAGATGAACTAGAATCACCATCACCAATATAATTGTTATACCTTAAGTTATAATTTGACTCAGAACGGTTGAACATATGAACTGGATCTTCAAATTCCATGGAACCTGCAGGTTTAGTATGATTTATATCACAATCGTGATCAGAAAAACCAAGTGTTATAAGCTTCTGTCCCACGATTTTTTTCCCATA